CACACTCGTCCCAGGTCTAACTCCAGCCACACCTCAAAACAAAACCCACCCACTCTCCACACCCCTCACCACTGGCACACTCTCACCATCTCCCCTCCGTCACTGATCTCACCAAACACTGAGACTTCTTGTAAAGAAAAATAAAAAGTCAAACCAACAATATCGACCGTCACCATGCTCCAAGTTGTGTGTACAGTAGCCATCAGTAAATGAATAAGTCTGGGGGTATAGTTATGCTACAGAGTAACATCATTTATTTATTTGTTCGCTCTTAGCAATTGAAGATTGTAGCAATTACTCTGGACCATGAGATTCCATGAACTCAACTGGGATCATCACCATCTTCCTCCACATCGACACAGTCTGACCTCTATAGGTCCGAGGTGTGGGCTGTGGGGAAGGTCTTAGTGAAGTATGGAGGATTGTTGATGAGCACAGTACTGCTGCTAAATAACGTCAGTACAGCACCCCAGCCTTCACCATCCCAGAGAGGATCATCTGGATAGAAAACTGTTAGTAACTGATCCTGCCGGAGTTGACTCCTGATTCACAGAATAGAGTCGCCCAACTACAAGTGGTGTAGTATAACTGGAACCTGTACAAGGACATCCTTCATTGTCAGTTGAGGTCTCAGTAGCAGCAGCTGCAAATGTCCAGATGTGTTGTCGTGGACTGCCATGTGTGAGACTGACACCAGAAACATAGGCTCCTTCTATTGTGGTCACTTGTCCATCGTGATAGGCCTCAAATGCGTCTGTTCGATCAACCTGGTAGGCTCTGATAGAGCCACACACACTAGTGTAGTTTCCTCCACTGACAGGGAACAAGACTGAGTCACAGGAGAGACTGCTGGTGTTAACTTTACCACAGGTCCTCTTGGAGTGACTAGTGAGCTGCCAGCCAGTGGGACAGTTGGCATTGGTGTCTGTCATGTTCAGGTAGACCACACGCCTCCAACCTCCTATACCTCCACACTCATACACATGCTCAAGTATAAAGTCAGCAGTCTTCTTCAGTTCCTTTGTAACATTGGTCAGTAAATTCTGTTCAAGTTCCTTGGCCACAGTCTCAGTGAGGGAGTTTATCTGCTCCTGGACACTGGTCATGTTTTCTTTAACAGCAGCCAGACCATCCCTCATTTCAGTCATGAATGGACTCAGTGTCTCATATACTGCTGCAGCTAGCCTCACAACTGAGAGAGACATACAGGAATATATTTGCTATCACCTCATGCATTATAATAAACTTCTCACCATCACATTGGGAAACTCCAGTCTGCATGAGAGAGAAGGCAAATGCTGCCACCACAACCAACTGGAGACTCCTTATTTTCTCCTACAATTGCCTCACTACCAAACCAATCCTTAACTAAAAGGTGGTCCGATATTCGTTTGCATTTTAGAAAGCTTTTGCAGAATCTCATTGGTCAGGGCCTTACCGCCAGATGTCATCATACAAACACGTTATACGATGGTATTGCTTGTGGTCTACTGGTTGCACACTCGTGGGGCTTCAGTTTTGATAGACCACTCGGGCTACGCCCTCATGCCCTATCAAACTGGCCACTCGTACAACCTATATAATTATACATATATGGCAGTTTTTTTGCTCCTAGTTCCAGTGACCAATTTTCCTGCGGTGTGTCTGTCTTCAGGAGTGACTGACATGTGGCAGTTGAAGTACAGACTGTCTCCTCTGTCCAGCTCTTCTCCCTCCCTCACATCTCCCCTTCACACACCTTCTCACCACTACCTCTCCTACCTCTTACGGAGCCAGTGAGTGCAACTACTGTCCCCCCTAGGCAGAAGGCAGCAATGATTCATCTCATACGTCAGTCAATTGGAGAGCTTCGAGACACAGCAACAACCAGTGGCAGCAGCTCCCCACTCCCCCTCCCCTCTCCTCTCCACACCTCCTCTCCACTGGCACACCCTCACAACTCGCACCTCAGTTCCTACTCTCCCTCCCACAGACACCCTCTCCTCCCTCCCTCACACTCCTCACCGCGTCACACTCGTCCCAGGTCGAACTCTCAGCCACACCTCCAAAACCTCACCCCCTCTCCACACCCCTCACCACTGGCACACTCTCACCATCTCCCCTCCCTCACTGATCTCACCAAACACGGATATAACTAATAACATGTTTTATTGCACATATCTATCTATATATATAGGTTAGACGCGGAAGCGAGGTGTCTACGCTACATTGCAACCCGAGGGGCTGTGGAATGTTGGCGTCCCGAGCGCAGCGAGGGCGCTACCCACATGCCCCGAGGGTTGCAATGTTGCGTAGACAACCGAGCTTCCGCGTCTAACCGGTTTAGACGGAGTATTCTGATTGGTGTTTGCGCGTTCAAATGGGTAGCAACAAGCTAGCAACGCTGCGCTCATTCCTCATTCCTTACTTCGGATGGAACAAGACGCTTTTTTTACGTGTGAGACTAGACTCCGAGGAGACAGGCCCCGCCCCCCATCAAAAATCGTTTACGTCATCATAAAACGCCCTCATTGGTGGTGCGCGTTTGAAAGGGTTAGCAACGCACGGCAACGGCCCAATGTGTTTGTGTATCGCCAGAGCTGAAGAAGCCGACGCTCTTTTCGTGGAATATTGACGTGATTTCTGACTTTCGCGAGCTCCGGAGACTGTCCACAGACTTCTTGCAGGTGCACTACGCATTTTAAAAGAGCTACTTTGCCAGTCATGCCTTCTACGCTTACATATACCGAACGCGGAATCGGCCGGTTTGCGCAGATAACGACTTTTGAGAATAGCCATTTTGTACGGGAAGTTTGCTGTAGACCACCTGCAAACGCCATTAGACACCTGAAACGAGGTGTCTATGAAAAATAAACCCCCCGCAATTCTGTAATCTGATTGGTCAATTGCGCGTGACTGCGGTCTAAACTATGTTGTTGACTTGTAACACATTGTGTGCATAGCTATAATGTTCCACGCTTGGTTTCTGCTACATGCAGTCTCAGCACTACTTTACATACAGTTCAATGAACTCTATTGGAGAGCCATGGATGTCCAACCAACACAGTCTGGCCTCTATAGGGTCAGAGGTGAGGTTGGGGAGTGTCTTAGTGAAGTATGGAGGATTGTTGAATGAGCAACAGCTACTGTTGCTACCACAACCTTCACCATCCCAGAGAGGATCATCTGGATGAAAACCACTTACTGATCCTGAGTTGACTCCTGATTCACAGAAATACTCTCCAACCACAAATGATGGGATGGTAATGTTGATGCTAGCATCACAAGGACAGGCATCAATCCAAGTGGGTCGGATCTCAGAAGCACCAGCAGCAAATGTCCAGATGTGTTGTCGTGGACTGCCATGTGTGACACTGACACCAGCAACTTAGGCTCCTTCTATTGTGGTCACACGTCCACGATTGTAGGCCTCAAATCCATCAACATGGCTATACTGGTAGGCTCTGATAGAGCCACATACACTAGTGTAGTCTCCTCCACTGACAGGGAACAAGACTGAGTCACAGGAGAGATCACTAGTACTAACTCTACCACATGTTCTCTTGGAGTGACGAGTGAGCTGCCATCCTGGGGGACAGTTGGTGTTGGGGTCTGTCATGTTCAGGTAGACCACACGTCTCCAACCTCCTGTACCTCCACACTCATATGGGGGTAGTTGTTCAAGTATATAGTCAGCAGTCTTCTTCAGTTCCTTTGTAACATTGGTCAGTACATTTCGCTCTAGTTCAGAGTGCGCAGTCATCACTGTCATACTGAGACCATCTTGTTTAGAGTCCAGAGAGTCTAACTTGGAGTCAATGGTCTCCTGGTTGGTCTCCAGTCCTGCTAGCTCTGAGGCTGTCTGGCTGCTGTGTTCTTGAAGTTTAGCCTTCACTCCTGAGAGTCCTTCACTCATACTAGTATTGACTGCTGACAGACCTTCACTCATACTAATATTGACTGAGACCAGTAGGGACTTAACCATATCCAGCTGAATATGTAGTCCTGTCGTCTGCTCATCATTGCTGTTTTGTTCCATGTTGCTCGCAGAATTGACTTGTTTCTGGATGTTGGTTAGGTTTTCGTTGACCTTAGCCAGACCTTCTCTTAGTTCAGTCTTAACAAAAGCCAATTCTTGTTTCATTTCAGTCATGAATGGACTCAGAGTCTCATACACTGCTGCAGCTAGCCTCACAACTAGTGACGTACACAGAACCTTGGTAATGAAGCTATGTTACTTACAAGTTCTCACCATCACATTGGGAAGCTCCAGTCTGCATGAGAGAGAATGTAAATGCTGCCACCACAACCAACTGGAGACTCTTCATCCTTCCACTTTAGCGGTGGTATTTTTTAGCTCGTCTCTACAACTGAAATAAACACTGCACCTCTTTCTTTGGTTATACTGACATAAACAAACTCTGGAAGTGATGTCAGCATGGTTACACTTCAGTCTACCTAAAGAATAACAGCCTTTTATGTCACTAAAGACAACATCCCCGGCCCTTGTCTATCTGTAGTTGGCATTGTTTGTCACCAGGCTCTACAGTGTATACTTGGTTTGTGTGTCTGTCTGCACAATAGTGCAGCTCAAAAATTATAATACTTGTGGCTTTAGTACTGCGGTGGTAAAGGTGTGTCCAGTTTTCTTGTTGGGCACACTGTGGAGGTGCAACTAGATGTCTATTCTTTCTTTGCTCCAAATGTGTAAACCTAGCATGTGGTGTAGCTTTGTGCTTGGATTAAAGACTTCACTTCTTCCCTCCCTCTTCTCCCTCTTAGAACCAGATGTCTAGGTAGACTCACTTTGCTTGCTTATTTGTTGGGCTTGAGGTTATAAACATTGTTGTTTTAGGAAGATTAGTTTGTAGCTGCACATTGCATGTTGACAGTTTGCTCCTCACTTCTCAGTTTTTGTTCTTACTTCTCGGTTTTTCTTTTCATTGTTGGTATTGACTTAATTAATTAAATTCCCTATGACATGTGCCTCTTTCTTTTATATATATATATGTACCATGTACTTTTGACTTTGATGTTTCTGCCATGAACAAACTTTGACAGCTTTCACAGCTATGCCACATTGCTTGTACTTCAGTCTCTCTAATATCAGCAGAGACCATGTTTATGCATTGTTGGTCCCATTTCAAGGATTTCTGAATTCAGTGGCCTATGGCTGGAGTTGTGGAGATTTCTTGAGTGTAATGTGAAGTTGATGAAAGCTCGCTATTGTTTGTACTCCACTGCTGTGGTCTTTTAGTAGCTGGATATTCTCTCACTTTTCATTCAGCACCGTTTATAGTACTTGGTTATGCGTATGCACACCATTCTGCCACTACATGCAACATGTCACCAAGTTTCTTTAGTGCATATTTTTTATCACTGACTGTAGTTACTATAAGGCGAATGCATGCATTTGTGGTGAGCAGGAGCAAGCACAATCCTGCTACTGTATCCCCCATTTCACCTTTCACTTTCTTTTGATCTCTCATCCCTCACTTTTCTCTTTCTCCATCCTATGTGACTCCACTTATACTCTGTGTGGAAGTTTATGGAGCAGAAGGCAACAATGGTTCATCTCTGTACAGGTCTATGGAGCAGAAGGCAACAATGGTTCATCTCTGTACAGGTCTATGGAGCAGAAGGCAACAATGGTTCATCTCATACGTCAGTCAATAGGAGAGCTTCAAGATACAGCGACGACAAGCGACAGCAGCTCTCCACACCCCCTCCCCTCTCCTCTCCACAACCCCTCTCCACTGGCACATCCTCACAACTCACACCTCAGCTCCTACTCTCCCTCCCACAGACACCCTCTCCTCCCTCCCTCACACTCCTCACCACGTCACACTCGTCCCAGGTCGAACTCCCAGCCACACCTCCAAAACCTCACCCCCTCTCCACACCCCTCACCACTGGCACACTCTCACCATCTCCCCTCCCTCACTGATCTCAGCAAACACTAAAAACTAATTAGTATCGCTGCATTGTTAAAGCACAGCTGTGACAATAAATCCGCAATCTATAGCACACAGTGTAATGAATATATAAGCAACTACACTGTCATAATAAATGTGGCAAGGTCTGTGTATAGTAGATAATTTGTCCGAGGCCACTTTAGGTATAGTTATGCAACAGAGTAACTGACTACTTCACATAGAGTTCCATGAACTCAACTGGAGAATCATCAGCAGTATCCAATCGACACAGTCTGGCTTCTATAGGGTCAGAGGTGGGGCTGGGGAGTGTCTTAGTGAAGTATGGAGGATTGTTGAATGAGCAACAGCTACTGTTGCTACCACAACCTTCACCATCCCAGAGAGGATCATCTGGATGAAAACCACTTACTGATCCTGAGTTGACTCCTGATTCACAGAAATACTCTCCAACCACAAATGATGGGATGGTAATGTTGATGCTAGCATCACAAGGACAGGCATCAATCCAAGTGGGTCGGATCTCAGAAGCACCAGCAGCAAATGTCCAGATGTGTTGTCGTGGACTGCCATGTGTGACACTGACACCAGCAACTTAGGCTCCTTCTATTGTGGTCACACGTCCACGATTGTAGGCCTCAAATCCATCAACATGGCTATACTGGTAGGCTCTGATAGAGCCACATACACTAGTGTAGTCTCCTCCACTGACAGGGAACAAGACTGAGTCACAGGAGAGATCACTAGTACTAACTCTACCACATGTTCTCTTGGAGTGACGAGTGAGCTGCCATCCTGGGGGACAGTTGGTGTTGGGGTCTGTCATGTTCAGGTAGACCACACGTCTCCAACCTCCTGTACCTCCACACTCATATGGGGGTAGTTGTTCAAGTATATAGTCAGCAGTCTTCTTCAGTTCCTTTGTAACATTGGTCAGTACATTTTGCTCCAGTTCAGAGTGTGCAGTTGTCACTGTCATACTGAGACCATCTTGTTTGGAGTCCAGAGAGTCTAACTTGGAGTCAATGGTCTCCTGGTTGGTCTCCAGTCCTGCTAGCTCTGAGGCTGTCTGGCCGCTGTGTTCTTGAAGTTCAGTCTTCACTCCGGACAGACCTTCACTCATACTGCTATTGACTGAGACCAGTAGAGACTTAACCATATCCAGTTTGGTATGTAGTCCTGTCGTCTGCTCATCATTGCTGTTTTGTTCCATGTTGCTCACAGTCTCAGTAAGGGCATTGACTTGTTGCTGAATGTTGGTTAGGTTTTCTTTAACCTGAGCCAGACCTTCTCTTAGTTCAGTCTTAACAGAAGCCAATTCTTGTTTCATTTCAGTCAAGAGAGGACCCAGTGTCTCATACATTGCACCAACTACCCTCAAAACTGTGATGTATGGGAAATTTGCTATGAACCCTTGCATTTTACTTTAATCAAACTTCTCACCATCACATTGGGGAGCTCCAGTCTCCAAGAGAGAGAAGGCAAATGCTGCCACCACAACCAACTGGAGACTCTTCATTTTCTCCTACAATTGCCGCACGTATCAAACCAACCCCGAACTGAAAGGTGGTCCGATCTTCTATATATGGACATGACCTAAGCAAACAGTGTACTACTGATCTATCGTGATAACATGCCATGTCTGATGTAGTGATACTACCTATAGAACTATGTGACTTTAAATTACCACAGGTTCCCTTCTTTGATACTACAATCCTCGATAGTATGCTTTTACTGTATGACAGTTGTTTGCTGTGTAATAATAAAGCTACAACAGTTTTAACACAGACAAAAAAACTCTGCTAGAGAACCTGACAGAACTCAACATGGCCTCTGTCTCTCATTATACAGTCCAAGATTCAAACAGGTCGGTAACAATTACTGTATACTTTTCGTTCCATCGACTTATGTTGAATAGTGAAAGATTTTCAGGGTTAGGTATTCACTGAAACAACCAACATCATGTCATAAACACAAAATATTCGCCAGCCAATGCGTGCATACATTGTTAGTTGGCCACTATCTCCAGTCCAGAGTCTCTGACTGGTTTTGCTGTCACTCGTGGCAGGACCACATGCACAGCGATACACAGTTCATGAAACACTTCGACACCACTCTGTCCACCTCTATAGGAGCCATAGAACAAATCTGACAGTCTTTCTTCACACCACGTCCCCATCTCTCTACCATACTCCATACTTCCTTTTTCATTACCACTGCTTCCCTTTGCTTTAGTACCTTCTTCACTTGTGTTGAAATGAACAAAGTTATACACTATCTTGTGCTGTGTTGATTTGTACTGGAAAACTAGTAGACATCGATTCTCGTAGATGAGGGCAACCCTATCATTATCAATCACATCGGATATATTGGCCAGTGGGTGTGGCCAGGGGGAGGGGCCAGGGGGAGGAGTCAGAGGGAGTGAAAATCACGAGTGGGTCACGGGGGCGATGAACAAAGAGAGGGTTCTGTTCAACCATTAGGTAGGTGACACCTGCGACCACCAGGATACTGAGAATGCAGATGGTAAGACCAAAGAGGAAGATGAAGATCTTGTAAAAGGTTTGTAACAACTGCTTCAGACTGCACCTGTGTGTACGGTCGCTCCTCTGACACTGAGTGTTCGTGTGCCTTTGTTTGTGCGTCCCTTCCACATTTGAGCTACTTCCTATAACCTTTCGAGTTTGCATTTCAAGAGTTGAATCTCTTTTATGTTTGTCAGCATAAGAGGAGTTATTGTTGATATTTCCACAGTTGGTTGATATCCGGGTAGCTCTCTCTCCATCCATCTTCCCTCCTTGATCCCTGAATCTCAGTAGAGTCAGCATTAGTCTCCAGAAAGTGGCCAGAGCAGTTCCGATGCTACTAATGAGGATTGGAACTAGGGCGTCACTCGACGCTATGATGGATTTAGTACTACACGTATACTGAGACAGTCCGTAGAGAGAGGCCAACACCAACATAGGGACGTCTTCTAATAAGAGCCCGGCGACCGGCATGAGCTCGACGTGGGTTCGACAGAAGCTCCCCTTCAGGTGAAAGAGTTTCATGATCTCGTGGGAGGTAGCCATCATGGCTAGAGCTAGTCCAGCCAGTGCAAACAGCCCCCACACCATGCTCCACAGTAGAGGGGTCGGCAAGAGAGGGTGCGCGAAGCCAACCTTGAGAAAGGAACCCCAGGCAATGAGGTCTGAGATGGAGTCAAACCCTGCAATATAGATGTATATTATAGAGGAGGACGACCTTGCATTTTGTTCTCGATGGGGCGTAAGAGTCCAGAATGAACTCACTGCTCTGTACGACTGCATCAAATAGCAGTTCCTCCATTCTTAGTTCACTCCCTCTATATTCCTCTCTCTTTCTACCTTCTCCCCCTCAGTTGGGACTGAGTCTGTCGGTGGCCCAGTTGCTGTACCACGGAGACGTGATGTGGCTGAACCCAAACGAAGACCTGAGGGCTGCTAGAACCAGCTGGAAGAAAGGACATGGACCTCTTGCAACCTGCTTTGGTTAGCAGTGAGAAGAGATAGCTACAGTGGAACCTATGAAATGGGGCCCTCTGAAATGACACTGTGGTTCTACCACACACTGATACATTAGTGTAATACCAGGTGAAATTGATGCATAGAGTGAGTGAGTTAGTGAGTTAGGCTCACGAAATGTTAGTAAATCAATAGAAGGAGAGGGAGAGAGGGAGGGGTATTGTGGTGTATTGTCTTCATCTTGTAGTGTTTGCCTCTGCCGTTGTCCTGGTCTGTGTGGAGAAGAAACCAAAGAGAAAGAGCAGCAGCAAGGTCAGTTACTATCTCCACAAACACTCTTTTAGCCAAAGAAGGCCTTAGGATGAGGCCAAAATGGTTCTACTGTCCCTTCATGTTTATGCTCAATTTTAAAGGTATTATTGAGCTCTCTACCTCTGTCTAGAGTTTTGAGGTGGAGGTTGGAGTTGAGGACACAAAGTTCAAGATTCTCTTACCTTCTGTCAACTGCTCTGTCCATGACCTACCAGACTCTGATGGTAAATTCCTCCCATTAACACGATCTTACCCACTGCAAGAACTGGGAAATTTAGCTGCCATACATCATTAGAAAGTGCCAGTGGACTTATAGGCACTTCATGTAGGTAGTTTCAATTTGCTAGTAGCATCAGTGCCCAGGTTTGGTGTGTCTGTCTACAGGAGTGACTGACATGTGGCAGTTGAAGTACAGACTGTCTCCTCTGTCCAGCTCATCTCCCTCCCTCATATCTCCCCTTCACACACCTTCTCACCACTACCTCTCCTACCTCTTACGGAGCCAGTGAGTCTACTCTCGCACATTAGTATCCAGCAAAAATGTAGCTCCATGAGACTAAAAGAGCATACATAATAGTTAGACGCTGATTCGAGGTAACTACGCGCAGTAGAAAGCCGAGAGCCCCGGCATTGTGGCGCCCCGAGCGCAGCGAGGGCGCTACCGGCCCCCGGGGCACGAGGCTTTCTACCGGCGCGTGGTTACCGAGGAATCAGCGTCTAACTATTTTAGAGTGAGCGCTTCACGTTGAGCGCTCTGGCTTTCCTGTTCGTTCGTATGGCGGAGCGCGTCTAACGATAACTCGATGAAGACAGGCTCAGAGCGCCAGAAAATGCAGTGCAAGAAGAGGTAGCGAAGTGGCCGCGGTAGCGACTCCGCCTTCTTTTTCTGGTTGTGCTCGACGGTCTGCGCGCAGGGGGGTCTGCGCGTGCGCGTGGACGACGCGTCAATGTAGATTCAGTTGTTGATCTTGTTGTTTACATGTACATTTTGTTATGTTTTCCTGTTTTATCTGTAGGTTTTGTAGTTTCTGTAGGTTTACTACATGTAGGGCTAGGGCTACGGGAAATAGTAAACCTCGGCTTTGCAATCTGATTGGTCAATTCGAACCTAGCTCACTCTAAAAGCATGATCTGCTACTTTTACCACCACCCATAAGAGTGAGGAACTGCAATTTTTGGTTAGTGAACACAAGTGAAACCAAAGGAAAAACTAACAAAATAAACCCAGGCCTGATGAGAAGAAAGGGGGAGGGAAGAGTAGACTCACAATGTAACAGACTACATAATGGACTGCTTT